ACCGGTGGGTCTGGGGGGTATGGAAAACCCCCCAGTATACGTAAACTTTATTTCCACGAGTACACAAACCCCCCAGGCCCCCCGGTCTATGTTACCACGTGATACGTTAACTCCTGAGGACTCTCGTGACACTTTAAAAAAGTACCCTACTCGTGTCGGGTAAAAACACACATCCGGGGGGTCTGGGGGGTATGGAATGCCCCCCAGTATACGTAAACTTTATTCCCATGAGTACACAAACCCCCCAGCCCCCCCGGCCTATGTTACCACGTGATACGTTAACTCCTGAAGACTCTCGTGACACTTTAAAAAAGTACCCTACTCGTGTCGGGTAAAAACACACAACCGGGGGGTCGGGGGGGATATGGAATACCCCCCAGTATACGTAAACTTTATTCCCATGAGTACACAAACCCCCCACACCCCCCGGTCTACGTTACCACGCGAAACGTTAACTCCTGAGGACTCTCGTGATTACCCTACTGCTGATACTGGGGCGGGGGGTTTGGAATACCCCCCAGTATACGTAAACTTTATTCCCATGAGTACACAAATGATTTAATGATGATTGTAGAAAAAGGCTCCACAAGCTTTCCTTTGCTGGGGGTTATTCCCCGGCGCTACTTTCCCTCGCGAAACGTTGCATGTAAGACCTCTTAGCGAGGTTTTTAGAACGGAAACTTTACAAGGTTTTAAGGGTCAGTATAGGGCACCAATATTTTTAATAAACTATACGGAATTTAAGAGTCCTTAGGCACCATACAGAGTACAGCATTTAGGAGTTTTTAAGAGTAAATTCCAGGACCAAATCCTGCCATTCCAGGGTCGAGAGAATTGAAAAAAATTAGCCTCCAATCTTCAATTGCAGCCCCTTTAAACCTTCCTCACTGGATAAAGTGATCACTAATCGCCTATAAGGAATTTAAGAGCCTTTAACTTCATGGTGAAATCCTACCATTCCAGCAAGAATGTAATTGAGGGAAAGTTTCCTAGGAACGAATATTCCAGGAGCGATTTTCTATTCTCCAATATCGTGTTTTGCGCGGATTTTTCACGCGACAAAAAAATGTTGAAAGGAAGACAATCCCCAAACGCCAACCCCGTGCTTGATGGGCGCATAACATCCTGAATACGCCTCTGCCTGTAAATTTCCAAAATGCATCGATTGCGCGTCAATATCGTTCGATAAACAATCGTCGGTTACATTCGTCAATTAGGAACCGGCGCGATTGCCTTTTGCGTACGCGATAAGACGCAGGTGTTTCTCCTAAAATTGTACCAAATTGTTCAGTATTTGCCGTGTTAGCGTCGTATTTATCGCGTTGTAATTTGTGCCCGTTTCGTGTTTCCAGCGAAATTAGGAGACGAAGGACCCTAAATCCCTAGCTGAGGAGCCTGGCGCCTTGGGTAAGTCATCTTTTTGTATCGGTGATGGTACAAAAAAGGTACCTTTGTCCTTATTTTATTTTTTTAAATTGTACGAACGGACTTTTACTATATGCATTCGCAATAAGGGCGTAGGGTTTTGCCCAGATACTTCGTATTGATGATAAGGGATACATTCCATTGCATTCTTAACGTATTAGTCATCATAGATCTACAACAGGCGATGGTGACGCATAAACCTATGACGTCATCAACTAGTGTTTCAAAAGGATACAGGTTTTAATATCCAAAAAAAGGGTGGAATGAATATTGTTTTCAAAGGTGAAGGGCGAAAGTATCCAATTTTGCAACAGTAAATATTTCATTAAGACGACATAATCCCATCTCCATTAAAAAAATCAAAATTTTATCATTTCGTTTCGATTTAATGATTACCAAACGTACTTAAACACAGCGGTTCAAATATCAAAAAATGGAAAAACGGACGCAAAAATTCGACGCCAGGACGGGAAATTTTTTTTAATGCGATCATTGTTCCGTGCTCTTTCGTTTTTGTAATGGAGTCATTGTCCTCTGATCTTTTGTTTTTAGTGCACTTTCACTGTCAAAAAATAAAACGTGCACTTTTGCACTATTGACGTCTGTCTGTCTGTCTGTCACAAAGGCTCCGGAACGACACCACTTACTGACTTGGTGTTGGTGTCATTCGTCATTCTAGCTGGAGGATTCTCGTGATACTTTAAAAAGTACCCTACTCGTGTTGGGTAAAAACACGGAACGGGGGGGTACGAAACAACCCCCCCTCCCCCACACTCCCTCTAGTATAGGGAGATGATTGTGGAGAAAATCCCCTCAAGTTTTCCTTTGCTGGAGAGTATTCCATGGCGTTTTTTTAATAATTAAAAAAAAGTTTTATTGTTTGTGTTTTGTCTGTCCGGCTGTCCGGACCCACTTTGTTTTTGAAAGTACAACGTGCATAACTTTTACTTGAGACTATCAATTGAAAATGGTAGGGGGGTGAACACATATCCTACCCTTCATGATATTCTAACGAAAGGCCTCTTCTAAATTAATTAGTTTCGACAGACTAAGTACTTAATCACTACTTTTCGAAAAAATCATTCATTCTTACCTCTTATCAATATAGTGGGGGGGGGGGGGGGGAA